TAATCATGGTGATTCTTCCAGCAGACAATACGACTGACTATCGGTCATCCCGAGCCTGAGCCAGGGTTTATGCACAAGCTCTGCATGGTAGCAAACTTACGCCGCACACGGACGCACGCAAAGTACCCTTGACCGGCACTTACGGGATCCATGATAGTGGCAGTGTTTGCTCCAGCATTGATCCGTAGCAGGGCTCTACCTCGTTGTGGTTAATGTATGGTGACGTTGCAGGGAGCCAGGAAGGATGCGATGCGATGTCGAAACAGGGCGTGCGGTGGAGGAACAACCCATCAGGTTTTGGATGACAGCCGGAAGGATAGTTCTTGGCGGCTATATGATCGGAGATATAGGATATGTTGTGTTTCACATACAGAGCGTCACCTAGCTTGGACCGCTGGGTTTAGTGACTCTTGGATAGGGCTATCGAGATGGTGATTGAGTGGCCATGTGGCGTCTCGCGCATCAGTATTTTTATCGGTATTACAGCAGACAATTACCTGAGTGAGAGCATCAGTGGGTCAAATAACCGTTGAAACATCGGTGATGCGGCTCGGGACGGACGCAAGGCAGCCAGAAATCTAAACGTGCTTTTGCTCCGGGGATGCGTTAACTTTACCACATCTTAGGACCGATTACTTTGACCAGATGCTTTCCTCTTGACTCATATAAGCAAGTGCAGAAGTTTGAGATATCAATGACTCCATGACTCCAAAACTCAAGAAAGTGGCATGACACTCACAGTTTCACATGATAAAGTGTTGCTGAGAAGACTTCAGAGTAATTTTTGATTGTGAAGATATTCAAGTACTGCAGAAGCCTAATACAAAAAAGTGGCATTTATTGTCAAAGTTATTTCTTTTTCGTCTTGCCGAAGTGATGCTCGTAGTACTGACGAAAAAAGCGGGTTAAGGCAATATCAGGCATTCAGTCACCAAATCAAACCCAAGTTCATCCGTTATCTCAGCAGTAAATTTGGGCCACAACTACCTTATTCGATAAATGAGCCGTCTCCGTTTATAATATAATTTTACTTGATCTTGTTGTCTTAGAACGTCATTCAGCGGCTCTTTCGTGCCAGTTACTGATGACGTGCTGTCCTGCATAGGGCGTGCCACGCGGTCAAAGAAAGCTCTGGATACGAAGAGAAATGTGAAGTCAATCACGCAGAGTAATCGACAAAAGAACCCGAAACCTTTGTTGAGTTTAGAAGAGTAGGTATCCTAAAGCTTCACTGAGTTTAGGTAAAGTACCGACGCACATCAAGTATTGTATCGCATCTGATAAGGTTTCTACCATTCATACATTAACTTACGTGGGCTGCCTGCTTTTTTTTTCTACCCGACCCCGCCATCCATCAATGTTCTGCAGCGCATACCTAGCAGCATTATAGACTCAGCACTGTACCCTTACACCCATCATATCTCGTACTGCATCGGTTTTCGGCTACCCAGAAAGTCAATACCGATATTGGAGTAACACTATCCGAATCTTCACAGTTATTACTGGTAGGTTTCATCGCCGGCTCCAGGAAGGACCCATTGCCGCCTATTCAGAATGGAGAGAGATCTTCCGTCCATTCCGTCACGACCCAAGGGTTTGACGAAATCGAACTCAAGCGCTTCTTTCGGCGGTGGCTCTGCAAAGTCCGTGTCAGTACTGGGAACACATCCTCTGGGCACTCTCCATGTTCATCAAGTCAGCGAGACGCCTCACGAGCAACAAGATGATGATGGCCCTCCGCCCTTGGATCCTCCCTCGCGACAGAGCGAGAATGCTGTGATCAAGACCTCTCAGCATGGCTCTTCCAACCCCTTCCACAGCCCAGGCCGGGAGCCACTAACACACAACATGGGAGGCGGAGATGTGGTACTCATATTGGACTTGCCCGAAGTCTTCACGGTTGGCTACGACTCAATATCCTTCACAGCTAAGCACTTTGGTGGCGTCAGGGATATACCACCAGGTGCTCACTTCTTCTGGGTTGCTCACCCAGGAGGCCTTTCTGCTCGCTGCGGTTTCTGGATTGTCACGAAAAGTGTCGACACTGTCCATGTTATGCAGTGGGATCGATACAATGAAGTTCTGGGTGACTCAGCTCGTGCTGAAGCCCGCATCCAAGCCGATAACCTTGATACTATTCACTCAAAACTTGTCCCTTATCAAGATCCAAGCGCAGTAAACGCCGCCAATGGTGAACTTACTCAGGCTACATCACACAAAAATCTGAACATGTGGGAGCAATTGACTGGCAAGATCACAGAGGGTCTTCTCAATCGAGTAACGGGACAGAACTACGATAACTGGACGGTACATACCGGCGATCGTGTCAAGGGGTCGATACTCATGGCTGGTGAGATGGAACTTGACAACTCAATCTCAAACCCTTTGCTCAAGGCTCGCGAGCTCAACTTCGCCTTCAGCCAACGGACAAAAACATACTCAACAGATAATACCGGAGCCGACCGGACCTTGAGAGCCACGGATGCAACTCCTTATATCTTGTCGCAGCTCGACGCTTCTGATAATGATCTGAGCCCTGACGACGTTATCGGTGAATTCCAGTTCTCTTTCGTTGTAGGCGTCCACCTTGGCAACGATTCATGCATCCAGCAATGGTGGCATATGTTGCTGAAGATCTTTCTCCGTGCTCATCTCCTCCCAATCCGTCGACCGTCTCTTGCAGCCGCATTCATTCGCACCTTGACGGCCCAACTCACGTACAGCGCTTCCTGGCTTGAAGGTTCAATTCTTGACACTGCAGAGTCACAAACCAAAGATCTTCGACTTTCGCTCACTGTCTACAAAAGACGCTTGGACGAATTCCTGCAAGGCTTGGGGAGCAATGCCACATCCGAGCAATTGGCTGTTGCTACAGCTTTTGCGGGGCTTGAAGCTGTCGTGACTGGTACACTGGATTGGGATCTTCGCGGAGACTATCTACGCCGAGGCAAAGTCATGATGGAAGATGGTGAGGAAGTCGAGCTAGAGGTTGCTGACTTGGCAGCCGAAGATGAGCGTGGAGAGTGGGCACCAGAGATTGTTGATCTGGATGAGTCTGGACGACAACGCGATCTTGTCTCGTGGAACGACTAGATATGCTATCTCACGAGAACGCTTCGTGTGTCCAGACATCAAAGGAGTTTAGCAGAGCGGACAACAGCAAAGGGGTTCCAGACGCGAAAGGAAAAACAGTGCATAATGTGTTACCTTGTGTGCAAGGAGTAGCTCACCATCGGAATGCATTTGGATTGGTCAAACGATTGAGTTTTATAGAGCTGGAGTTGGGAGTTGGGGTTTGTCAACATCACAGCAACAAAGTACGAAACTTTTATCTTTTATTGATACATTGAACCTATTGAACAGCCCAGGGTTGAAATTGATAGCATGGAAAAAGGGGATAGTTTTGAACCGCGGCCAGCAGTCCAATTGGTAAGTGACGCTAATCTAACTTCACAGGGCTCGCGAATTGCATGCACTTCCTCTACTGAATTGTCTTGACCCGACGGAGATTCGCAAAGTGCCCCTATGTTGCAAACTCTTGTCAAAATTGGAAACAGGTCATCACATACGAAAGATGGAAACTGAGTAACGGAGCGAGTCCAGCAAAGAGGCAGTTCATTAACATCACAGTGCGTAGCAGCGCGGGCCGCGTCGTTAACTTTGAAGATTTCATTTGCCTGCCAGATCCTTTACAATCCGTCAAAAGCAAGACCATGCAAATGCTAATGGGAAACCCATTCCCAAACCAGGGAAATTGTGACTCCAGTCCCTTTTTCGCACTGCCCGTAGTATCCTCCACTGCACCAACACTCCGGCTCGACGCTTTTTTGCCCCATTCCGACAAACATCTTGAACCGTTTAACGGTAAGACTTCTGGAAGCGAGAGCGGGCACCCTTACCACCGAACTTCTTGGGCTCGCATCGGCGGTTGTCGGCAACGAGGAGGGTTCGGTCGAACTGGACGAGAGCCTGCTTGAGGAGGTTCTTGGAGTGCTCATCGACAAACTTCTGGTAGTAGGCGATCAGAGACTTGGCAATGGCCTGTCGGATGGCATAGATCTTATATGCAATTAGTAAGTCGTCAAAATCGACAGAACAGGGCTTAACCAACTTGCGAAGTATGCCCACCTCCTGACACTCGACATCTGATATCTACGTTGGCAAACTTGTCAAGGCCAACAACGAGAAGAGGCTCGTAGACCTAGGATAAGAGTGTTAATCTTTAGTTCCCAACAAGACACAACACCATTCGCGAGCATCGTCATGTCAGATTCGATGATTGAACGACGTGCTTTCGTAAACGGTCGAGGGATTCGTGATCCGTACCTTGAAGCGCAAGATCTCGGGCTGGACGAGGGAGAGAGGTCGTCCGTTGACCTTGATGAGACCGCGGCCAGCCTGGAAATTTCAAGACATGTCAGCTTCTCTGGCTCATCTCTCATCTGTTTCTGGGAATTTCGCGTACCTTGCAGTGAGCAACGGCGGTGGCGGTCTTCTTTTTACCAAAACACTGCACTGACTGAGTAGACATGATTGCTGGTCTTGGTGTTGTCGTTGGGCGGCGGGCGGAGGTTGAAAGCGTGGTGATCTTTTGGTGGGAGTTTAGATTCTGTCTCTTTCGTGAAAGGCGCTAGTGCCGAGTGGGACCGTATCTTTTTCTTAGCCAATAAGAGGGAGGCCCACGCACAAAGCCAGGGCTTCGAAAAATTGAGATCTTGTAGACAAAATTACACCAACGGACTTAGTCCTTTTCAGACCAAGATTTGCACGCTCTTTTTTCCACGGCAAACTCACATTTCCCCAAATCCATCGACCCTCGTTAGGGCACTGCACGTGAACACTACGAGCATTGTGAGCCGGACTGCCCACCTTGACAAATTTTCGTGCGTCTAACAACTCACAGCCGAAGTTCAACGTTCTACTAACCGTCCCCTGTGCAGTCGTCAGGTCAGCAAACCACATCTACCATCAACCAAGACGCTTTATTAACATATTACAGAATGGTTGCCGCTAAGCACGTCAAGATCGTCAAGAAGCGTACGTAAATTCGACATTCCTTTGCGACAACACGAGTGAACGAAGGAGAAACGAGTGATAGTCAAAATGCTGACTTGTGTGTGCAGGCACGAAGCGCTTCGAGCGTCACCAGAGTGATCGCTTCAAGTGTGTCGACCCCAGCTGGCGCAAGCCCAAGGGTATCGACAGCCGTGTCCGACGACGATTCCGCGGCACCATTGCCATGCCCTCTGTATGTCGAACCTTTGCGAGGCCTGACGAGAATTATCGACTTTCCACCAGGCGGGACACAGAACTTAGTGCTAATGTTGCATGATTTTAGATCGGCTATGGCTCCAACAAGAAGACCCGCTACATGACCCCCTCCGGCCACAAGGCTTTCCTCGTCAGCAACGTCAACGATGTCGAGCTTCTCCTCATGCACAACCGAACCCACGCTGCCGAGTACGCTCTCCCTTTAAAGTCACGCGGCCAATTGTAGCTAACCATGTTTTCAGGATTGCCCACAACGTCTCGTCGAGGAAGCGAGTTGACATCATTGCCCGCGCCAAGCAACTGGGTGTCAAGGTCACCAACCCCAAGGCGAAGGTTACCACCGAGGTTTAAAAGGAAATGGATCGGTTATTGGGCTGCTTTACGGTTATGCATCGGAAAGGGGTTTGCGTTACTTGCGGTTCTGGCACATAGCTCCATGGCATGCTAGAGAATAAAAAAACGCGCCGTTGAACGACAATGATATCTGGCATCAACCGCCTGAGTAGCAAATTCTCTTTTGAGTTGGAAGTGACATGGAATATATGTCTTATCCACTCGAAGCTGATGAGGTCTCTGATGGAGGCGTGGGTGAAGGGTGAACATATTGTGAATTGTGGATGAGACCATGAAAATAAACAAGACTCCGTCTGAGGGCCCCATCTGCTCCCCCAAAGCCCTCGAAATGTTGACCGTTTTACTTTTGCAGCGAAGACTGATTATGACGTTGGTGCCTACGCAAGCCGGATTCGTTTGCAATAGTCCGCAAGGCTAGAAAGAATTCTGTGTGTGTTTTCCCTGGCTATTTTGTTGAACATAATCATTGTAAGGATGATGATTGCCTCGGGGCTTTGTCGTTCTCAACCAAATTCATTGGCACACTTCCCTGCATCTTCAATAAGGCAATACTATGTTGAGGAAGCTGTACTTGATGACCAAGATCACGGCCTTGAAGTGAAGTGATGTCCATTAGGACGACATGATGGAAGTCCTATATTCCAAGAGCACGCTTCAGCAACGACCTAGCTCTTAGAACTTAAAATTTGAAGGCTGATGTCTAGAGTCTGGAAAAGTTTGCTTTGATGGTGGTACACTGGCGGTTGGCAGGCAGCTGCCACTTACCTCGCACTTGCCCAATCTCATGGCATAACAGCTGGCCATGACGACGAGCCGAACCTCGCGCCTCAGGTTCGGCTTGAAGGTAAAAATAAACTTCCTTTTCCCAATTCCATTTGAATTGAAACTTTCCCTTGAGCCCCTCTCATTCCCCTTCCTGGTAGCCTCTCCAATATCATGAAGCAACTTTATACACGGCATCGCTTATAGTCAACCAGCCGCTTGCAACTCGACTCGGGCTCCTTTCTTTACTCGGGACCTTTTCGTCTTCTCTATATGCTCAAGTGTTTGATTGAGTGCACCTTCAGAGCATTCCCGCCGATATTGGCCATTCCAGCATGACAATGGCGTTTCTACCACCACGGTTGATGCAGCAGCAACCCTATAAACCAACATGCACCCATCTAACCATGACCCGAATCTACGATGCGGACTCTAAATGTTCCTCTTGTCATGAGCCCGGTCAGTTTGGGTGGCTCTACCAGTGTACACAGGATCACGAGAAGATAATCGAGGAGAAACTGGTGAGAGGCCTTCCAAGCAATAGAAACAACTGGTAGACCTTGGTAACTAACTGGAGAGCAGCCATGCATGGACTACTTGGATTTCAGCTTTCGCAAGAACATGGTTGTTCGAAAAGGCAGCGCAGAAGCTCGACGCGACAAGCTTAGCTTTCTTCAAGAACTCACTCCTGAGCAGATGGCATCCTACCGACCAGATCAAATTGCAACTATCCTAAAACAGCGAGAGGAAGTGAGGCAACAATATTCTCCTGTAGCCCTCGAAGTATACTAATATCTCTGGTAGTTGAAGGACGTTATTGCAAAGGAGGAGCGGCAAAAAAGCACTTCGTCTCTGTTTGGCAACCTTCTTCCACCCCTAGGGTTCGAGTCTTCGTTCAGTGACAAGGGACAACGGACCCTGGATGAAGATGCGCTTTGTCAATACAAGATCTGCCAAAGATGCCGCCCTGTGTGCGTTGATCGGGCATTTTTGAGCCTCAATGCAGTCGCCGATGGCGAGATTACTCCAACAGCTGCTGCCGGTTTTGGGTTTGAGTCTCTAGGCGGAAGGCCAGTCATTGACAAAGATGTTGTTAGACATATTGACGAGCACCGCCCTAGAGTGAGTTTGGATCCCTGATCATCAATGGCAGATTGTTGACCGATGCATCCAGCCTCAGATCGGCAATCGTCGAATGATGGAACTGCTTGACGAGCAGATCGCCCGTATGCTCGCAAGTCACAATCAAAATCAACCTTTTCGGAACGGGCTTAGGAGTAAAATATCTGGACTCAGAGGAGGACGGCAGTTGCCCACTGTTAAGAACGTTGCTGCAAAAAGGCAACGTATGCGCGAAGGGGAGAAGGTCTTGGCCAATGCCGCTCAGGGTGATTCTGAGGCTATCGCCTCGACGCCTGACTTGCTGGGAAACCCTTGGCCATGGTTGGCTACTTTCCATGAGCCTGACGAGCATGAAGATGATCAAATCAACAACAGTCAACACCCACGACAGAGAGGGCGTGCCACACGGATTCCTCGGTAAGTGCTTAGAGATGTTTTAAGCCAGCCTTATTAACCAAGACGGCGCAGTCCCACTACTCCTGGTCCGAGATCCGCACGTCGCCGCCTTACTGATCAACTGTTGTCTAGCACGTCTAATATCCTTCCTCTGGACGGATATTCATGGAGCCTTTTTGGCGGTGGTGAGAATACAGTCTCAGCAACCACCTCGTCCCTCGGTGATACTTCCAATATCAAGTCCTCAGGGGCCGAGAATGAAAGCAATGGCGAAGGACCATCGCCTATGGCATTCGGAACTGACCATGGTGTTGCGATGACAGAGGAGAGCATTGAGGCTAGAGTTCCCGATGTGATGACTCAGGTGTAAGGATGATGATTATGGAAAGTGTGTGCTTGGGAAACCAGTGAGGTTACAAGACTTGGTGGTGCACTTAAAACTGGTCTGGGGTTTTGCGGCGTTTGAGAGGTTGTCGGACTGGTTGTTACTTGGTCGAGTCAGGCTTTGTCTAGAGTCTTGGAACATTTGCTTCTGTGGGAGTATGAGTCTTTTGTTAACCTATGATTGGTCCATCTCTACTAATTATCCTTGGAATTCTCCAATATCTTCTTCATCATTTGATTACCCACCACCTTGGCCTCCTCGAACCGTGGTTCAAAGAACTGTTGAGTACTCACGAACCGCTTCTCCCATGTCTCGAAATGTCCCAGGTTGACACACTCAGCCCAGGCCCGTGCTGCAAAAGTAAACTCCAGATCATCGCTACGGTACGTCTTATCCTCGATTGCAGTCTCAATGGCTGCCTCGAGGACATCTTCGTTGCGGAACAGGTATTCAGTGACACCAAGGCGCAAGCGAAAGAGAGGAGTGCTGCAGAGCATATGATCGTATGGCACAATGTTGAGCGCCGCCCAGCAGTCGACCATTGCAAGGATCGAGAGATGGTTGTTGGGTCGAGGCTCATCAGTAGGCGTGCCGAGCGAGAAGGACGACAGGATCGACGGCTCAAGCAAGGGGCGTGTGTCCCAGGTCGTGGATGAACCGAATACCTTGTCGCGTGCACGGTAGACTCGTTCTCTGAAGCCCTCACGGTTTCCTTCGAGCATGAGTTTGTACAAATCGGTGACGCTTCGTGCGTACTGTGAGATCTGTTCACTCGCTTCAGGGTTAAGAATAGCAAGGCCGGCGTACACATGCCATTTTTGACTGTAGATGCGCAGCATCAAATTGACCTTGACATTCTCAATACCGCCAACATATCGACTCAGCTCCCAAGGAAATTGCTTGTTAGCGTGCCACGCCTTACCCATAGATAAGAAGGCTGCATGGGTGACTGCTTGAGTATCGGCGGTGATGCGGTCGTGCTCGCGGGCGGAGAGATGGACAAACTTTGAGCGGAGACAGCTGAGGACAGTCTCAACCTTTCGGAGAGCTGAATCTGGGGCACGGTGTTGGATGAGCACAAGGGGTTGGTTAGTCGGATCAACATTGGGGCCATGAAGTGAGTGGCACGAGATAATATCGACGTCGGCGGGGAGGTGAGCCTCAAAGGCAGCGATCTCGGGGGACTTGCAAGAGGTTTGACCTCCAACAATGGCACCAAGCTTGGTAGCTGGTCACAACAGTCAGTGTCTAGATGGCTACTGTTTAACCTTGAGAAGAGACGCTCGAAGGAAACATTCACAAGGGAATACGAAGAGAGGGCGCGTACATGGTCCATACTGAGCAATTACACGGTCAATGACGGCGGCCTCGACGCTATAGATGATGTAGTCGCTTGCGCGGGAAACATAATGGCCATTTCGACAAATTTCTATATTTTTCTATTCGATAGCTTCAGCGACTTGGAGCGAGGCAGAGCAGGCAGGAATCATCAAGTCATACATTTCCAGCATATTCTTTCTCAAGCTTTTCCTGATTCTCTTCTCTGTCGCAGGCCATGATCCTAAAGTAGCTCCGCCGTTAGCCACTCGGCATCCGGTCCGGGGTTGCATTCACAGGAAGATAGTATCTGTTCTTGTAGTTGTTAGCTTGTGTCAAAGCAGAAGTGCTAACAAAATGAGGTAGACGGGTGAAAATTCAGACAGTTGATAATTAAGGTAGCAAGCGTTTACATCATTGAGAGCACAGGTCCGATTCTGATGGCCATAACGGACACCAGGCGTCCCTGAACAATGCTCGAGCCAAATGCGCTCTAGTCATCATGAAAGAGGGGAGGGGAGTGAATGTTGAGGAGGAAGAGTTGGCTTACCATTTGAAGAAAAGGAGCTGGAGCTGCAAGTGCGAATCGCAATGGATTCAAGACTTACCTCCAGCCAGCGGCAGACAGCCTTTCGGCATACATCTTGCCCATATCGCCCATACCGATCAGTCCGACGACGAAGTTCTCCATCCCCTCAGGGACGGGCTGCGATTGTGAAGCCATATTATCTGCTGCGCGATTTAATAAGAGCAGGAAACACGAATCACATCCTCTCAAGCGACTGTGCTTTAAGAGAGCTTTGTGCGGAAAGCTCAAAAGAGTGTGTTTGAGAGTGAAGAAAAAAGTCAGAGTGAAAAAAAAAAAGTTCGCGACCTTCTTTATGGTGGAGATTTGAAGGTTGTTACGTAAGCCACCGATATTTCGCGTTATAGCGATAGGTGGATCTATGAAGCTATCCACTTCAGCGTCAAGAGAAGTATGGAGAATATCAGAGGAGGAGCTTTTGATGACTTGCACTGATTCAGTTGATAATTTCGCTTCTTTTTTTTTTTAAAAAAAAAAAAAAATGGAGGTCGTATTTGCGTTAGGCTCAAATGGCTCTGGTCAGTTGGGTATTGGCCACAAAGAAGACGTTTCAGTGCCGAAGCAGGTCCTCTTCCATCCTGACCCTCCAACCTCCTCCATTACAAAAGTCGCAGCGGGTGGAAACCATACGTTGCTTCTTACGAAAACTGGCCAACTTTACTGGAGCGGTGATCCCACGCCAGGTGCATGTGGATTGAACACTGGTCCGGATGCAGCTGTGTTTCGAGAAATCCAGCTTACTAAGAACGGAGAATCTCCAGTTGGCGAGATTGCCTTGATCACAGCAACATGGGAGGCTTCTATCCTTGTGGCTAAAGATGCAGATGGAAAGAAGACTCGAGTTTTCAGTCTCGGGGCGGGGTTGAAAGGCGAACTAGGTCTGGGAGAACTCATCGTTCGCACACCATCAGCAACCCAAATTCGAGAATTCCCACCTCCGGGAACAGAAGTTATCGACCTGGCTGCTTGCATGGGGCATGTCGTTGCAGTTCTCGACAATGGTGATGCCTACGGCTGGGGTAATGCGAGGAAGTCCCAAGCTGGTGAGCCAGGCCAAGTCCTTCACGCTCCTAGAAAGATCGAGGGCATCGACTTCAAGGTCACGAGAGCTGTCTGTGGCAGAGAATTCACATGTCTATTCGGTGACCCACAAAGTGGAAACATCAAGGTTCTAGGTTCAGATAAATGGAATATTCAATCAGGTGCACCCAAGACATGTCCTGGATGGAAAGACGTGGGCGCAAGTTGGGGAAATATCTATGTCCTGGGGAAGGATGGTTCTCTACAAGCTTGGGGACGAGATGATCACGGACAACTACCCCCACCAAATCTCCCGGAGCTGAGCACCATTGCAATCGGCAGCGAACATGTTGTTGCTCTCTCTACCGCAGGCGATGTTCTATCATGGGGATGGGGCGAGCATGGCAACTGTGGACCTCAGGTTGAGAATAACGATGTCAAAGGCCGATGGAATGTCATTGCTTCATCTAAATTCATCCCCCCGGGCTCCAAGATAGGAGAAGTCGGGGCAGGGTGTGCCACCAGTTGGGTATTCATTACAGCTGAGTGAATATACTCGTCTAGATGCCACATCTTTCTTTCTTCATCCCATTTTCTTGTCCTTAGTCGGGAAACAGGGCCAGACTTTCGACCTCTGTCAACTTTTGTGTTGGTTCAATGTATGTTGACTCGGCATCTGTTGGTGGTGGATGGGAAATTTCGGGCTGGGGTTCAACAGGAGCAAGATTCTCCAAGAAACGGCTCGTGTCCATATCAGGAGCGTTCTACTATAGTCAGTACGCGATCACAAGAAGGGCTTTTTCAACTTACAGGATCAATGCTATGATCCCATCCCAGCTTAGCATTGTCTTCCGCAAGCTCTTCATCCTCGTAGTTGATAGGTTCCCAACCTTCGTCCTCAACGAATAGACTCTCGGATCTGTTGGTCGCAGGTGGTGCCGGTCTCTGCGAGGGTCGAAGGTCAAACGCTCCTACGCGCGAGGCGCTGGCTCTAGCAGCGCTCATCTGTGGTGTTGGATTATGCTGAGGCAAGGATGGGGGAGGAGGCGCAGGCGCTGGCGCTGGTTGTGACTCTGGAGGAGCCATGCTCGGCCGCCGTGATGTTGCTTCAAGACGCGGACCGGTATTCTGAGTTGCATTCTTACGTCCTTTTTTAGTCCTCTGGCCAGTGTTGGTCCCGCGCTCGCCAACAGTCATGACGAGAAATTCGCATGACATGGCATCGCCAGTATAGGAAAGCTGGATGGGTTGTGTAGGAATTGAGTATCGGGCTGACACATCGTTACCTGTGATGCCAGCATGTTGAATAATAGCGCGGAAATCTTTGACGGATATCACAATGTGAAGTTTGTCTTCCACGTCAATCTCGTCGAATTCATCCGCTTCGACAGCGATTGACGTTTGGAGTGGCTTCTTCAAGACCGCTATTGAATGTCAGCTTATAGGCAATCATGTTGTCAACAGATACGCACCATCCTCGCTCACAGTCTTCTCACTGAAACAAGTAAAATTGACATGATCTCCATCAGTGTTGATATCGAGGAACTCGATACCAGGGCCAAAGTGATCCATGAGCTGCCGCAAAGTGCGTGAGGAGATTGTCCAGTGGTGGGGGGCATCTTGTTTGTTGAACTTGGCGTGGATTGGGACCGAGGCCTCGAATGGGAGACGGTGTGTAGATGTCAGTCCATTTCGGAAGATAAGACGAGCGATGAATCGACTTTGAACTCCCTCTCCATCTTCAATTGCGACATCGCATCTGTCGATGAGTGTTTGCTTCTCGGCGTCTCTTTGCGAGTCAGGCGCCGTACGGCTTCGAAAGAGGGAGATTAGAGCCTTCAGGTGGTCAGCATGATCCATACCATGAAGAGAGAATTGAGCTTACTCGGATATAGAGTGTACAGTAGAAACGGTCACGGAACTGGCGACTTCCTTGGTACTGGTAACGGGAGAAGAACTTGGTCGTCGCAAATCTGACACTTGCATAAGCAGATTTTGAGGTGTTGAGGGTAGTGAGAATAAACTAGAGGAGAATTGTGAGTGACGAGCAAAATGGGAGACTTTACATATTGAACATACTGAATCCTTGCGGGCCTCGAGTGAAACGTCGTCACTGAACTTGTTCAGACAAATGAGGGCATCGCGAAAGGCGGAAACACCTTCCTCACTGAGAGTGAAATTGAGTAGGGCCATGACGCTCTGAATTGTTCGAATGGCTCATGAAAATATTCTCGCCATGTTTGAAGTCAGTTGTGAAGTCAATGTCTTCAACTTCAAATGGCAGGCACGCGTTCACGCTGATAGAGCAGCCATGACAAGTCGGAGTTGAATGTGGATCCTGAACCCCACTAGACTTACCCTGTACTTAACAGACCAAAACACCAAGAAAATACATCGTCATCACAGCCAAGTTCAATTTTGTGAAAAGTCAAGTTGTATTAGGAGGAACAATCTAATATTTATCCCTCATCCGATCCTAAACTCCTAAGAATCCATTACTGTCGTGCCATCGTTCCAGCGCCGTCAAGACGTGTGTTGTTCCATCAGAAGATTGTTTAGGTGCAGCCAAGCGACCAAGGTACTTTAGCGACGGAAGCAGCTGAACTTTCCGAGAGAGAATCGCCAAGGGCCCCGTCGGACGCCGTGTTTGTCAACGTGAACACTGGTGCCGAAATGGCGACCACCGACTCCCTTTGACCAGAAAAGACCCATGATGTTGTTTGTTTGTTTCTTTGTTGTGCAAGTTTGAAAGTGGTAGTTATCTAGATGGATACCATTAGCTCAGGTATGGTTGACGGAAGGGCAAGGCCTGTGTTCACCTTGGTGTTGAAGTTGAAGAGATGTCGTTGAAAGAAGCTTGTTTACGAGGAAAATAAGGTGTTAGGGGGTTGCAGATCAACTTTATACGACATCTCAGCCCAATCCAATCGCTGCCTTGGCAGGGACCATGGGAGAGGCCTCTCTGTAATTCGATCTGCGATTCCTCTCCAGTGACATATTTTGGCGCTCAGTGACGTAGGCTTAGTGGCGGTGTTAAGGTCACGCCACACACGATGTGCGTGGTCAAGGTTGCCCTCTTTATTCTTAGATATCACCTTATGTCTGGCTGAAAGAACTTATAAACATGAACACACATTGAATACATTGACAAGTCATTTCGCAATTTATCTTCCATCAATTGTTTACCTCGACTGGTGTGATTTCACAGCATAACCCCGGTTGCATATCACTGAATGCCTGAGGAGGCTCTCAGGGAGCAAGACAACCCACGATCTCTATCTAAGACATAGAAAGATTTAGGCAAATTTAGTTAGACTTAGCGTAGATTTAGGATACTTTAGACCAATTACTTCGGCATTTGGGATAAAGGTCCCTAAGCTTTCTTGCCCCCCCTAAAGGGAGGGTCCAACATGGGTGTTCCAAAATCAAGCTTGACGCATGTAAATCTTACCTCCTTCCATCCAAGTGAAACACCATCAACGAAAAGCCACGATAATCCCGCCCTTGAGCCTTCGATATCTACGCGTCAACACTCTTCGATTTTTATCACGCAAGTAAAGTGTTAAAGCGGCTCTAGCGCTTGTAATAACAAGGAAATGGTTTTCGCGCCCAACCTTGTTCTTTCTTCAGAGAATGACGGTTGGTCAATGGAGTTCTCAACGACCAGATTCCCCCCATTGCTTCTTGTTCGCAGATTAATGATCAATATTGCTCTTAATAGGTCGCTGTTCACTTCCCGTTCTTAATCAGTCCGCTAGTACAGACGCATTGCTATTTGGTGCGAAAGGACGGCACGGCATAAGTGTCTGTTCATGCAATGCCGTTGTTCGATGCTGACGCATCCTTTGCGAGAACATAGCTTCTCAGCACTCAACAGTTCCTGAAGCCCATCACAATGGGCTGCCAAAGATATGAAGAACAGTGTATCTCTAGCACAATGGCAGATGAAATCATGGCATACATAAATAGCCACTGGAAGCAATTGAAACACTTAGGTTGTCATCTCCAACTGCTCACTCAGCACCACACAAACGAGTAAAACCAACACTGAAAACAACTTGACAAAATGGCCGATTCTTCCCCTAAAATTCCTGCTGAAACCCCCTCCAACGAGCGGCAAGGTCTTCGCCGCTCGAGCCGCTCAACCCGTGGCCAACTCAGCCAGAACACTTTTCTCCTACAGCACTTTGTTGTAGGAGAAGACGCAGCTCGCCCGAGTCCTGGACCTGGACGTCGCCATGCTATCGCAAAGCCTAAGGCTTATAGTAATGACGAGGCAGGTCCGCTGGCACGATCAGCGCCCACAGCTTCCAACAATCCACGTCGGGCTAGAGGACGAAGCCTGAGCAACAATCTTTCCAATCTCGGGAGTCATGAGGATGCACTGGCCGTATCCGCTGAGGCGGGAGCCTTGGTAAGCCCTCGGCGAAGCAGTGTTCCAGCTGCTTGTCCTCTTCCCTCTGTTCAACATATTGGTGATCGTCGCCGAAGTGCCTCTCCGCCCCAGTTGGCTCCTTCAAACATGAGAGATCGTAGAGATCGTCGAGATCCGGCCCCTCAGCAGCGGACAATGCCAGCCTTCCCGTGGGAGCCAGCCTTTCAGTTTGGATTTCAATTACCTCCCCGGTACCAACCCCAGGGGCAGCAGCAGATCCCATTTTTTCCAATGCCTGTGCAACCTAGTCAGATGGCTCCGCCTCAACACTTTGAGCAGCAAACTCAAGAATCTACCTTCGAAGCCCCCGGAATTCCTATGAACCTAGCGGATTTGATGCTCGACACACAGGCTCTAGTGAATCCACAGACAAGTATCCCGAAAGCTGAGGTTCCCCAGTTTGCAGAACTAGTTGACTCGTATAACAGGATTCACGAGGAACGTCAAGTACAGGAAGAGCGAGACCGTCTGGCTGCGCAAGACGAAAAAGACAAAGCGAAGGTGGCAGAGGCGGAAGAGCTAAACCAGGAGGAGATGGACGCATTGTGGGATCAGTTCATGGACCCTGATGCTTTCAAATGATCATCTTCACAAGGTAAGCCCGTCACCAACGTGATATTACTGACGTTTCTTTTTCAGAGCCTCCTTATGTGAACGGAAGTTTTCATCACTGCAGTTGGTAGTTTATTTCACAGTTATGTCTTGCTTCAGGACAGAGCAGTTTGGCTTGTGTGGAATCTACTGTTGGTAGTGCAAAAGATTGGTGGATAAGGGCAGGGACTTTGCCTCCTATACGCCCTCTGGTACAGTAGGTAACGAACGGTAGGTGAAAAAACAGATAAAACAAACAAGTACGTCTCGGACCAAGCTCATCTCCTCCAACAGCCTCATGTGAAGTATATTGTGTGACTCATGAATAGACCACTTGTACTCGAGCGGCTACTCGTAATGAAGTGTGTTCCATCCCGCAGCGACCAAACTCTGGTGGCCTGCTCGATCACCAGCACCCGTCCAGTAAAACAGACCGCCCAGGCCCATTGCTTTGGCATACCTCGCCTTAACACAAACCGTGCTAGGAACATCGAAAGAGACAAAGCCTTTGTCTCCTTTAGTATCAACAAAGGATGCCGCTGCAACGGATTCATCGACTTTTGCGCCTGCTACCCATTCATCGGGTAAATCGCAGTAGTCAATCTCGCCCGAGCCCTGGAAAGGATGTCCTGGTCCACGAGCCTGTCCAAAATATCTGGCATATACTGGAATGCCGAGGATGATCTTACGGCTGGGAAAACCCTGCGAGGTCAAGTAGTCTACGCCACGCTGGCATGACTTGCGAAGGGTGGGATACACCTCATTAAGGTTGTTGCTTGGAGGCAGAAGCTGTGCGTGATGGCCACAGACGTCGGTCCAGCCGCCTGTGAAATCGTAGCCCATGAGGTTGAGGAAGTCGAGAAGTTGCGCCACGACTGGTAGGTTGAGATGCTTGAGGCAGTACTCGCCAGTGGGGAGAGCGCTTGTCAGCAGGTATTTGGGAGCCGGCATCATCTGTCTGATGGCCTGGAGGTAAAGAACATAGTTCTTCCCAGCTTCTGGAGTCTGAGGGTGCTCCCAGTCAACTGTTACAAGTCAGCTTTGGCATATCTTCCAACTGGGAGTCAACATACTGTCAACTCCATCGAAGTGATGGGTGTCACAAAACTCCTTGATCTGGCGAGCAAAAGTTTGCCTTGCTGCTTTGCTTGCTGCAAGTGCAGGAAATTCCTTACTGCTAGAACCACCACCGATCGAGACGAGTGTCTTTATATGAGGGTGCTGGCCTTTCAACTTGCGAAGTGCAGCGAGACAACCCTTTTCGCCATCAACTACTTTATTGTTGTCGGCCCAATCATCGATGGACTACAGATGAAGTCAGTGAACAGTAGAACTACAGGATTCCGAGTGGGACTACATACTCGAAGTGTGCCATCCTCGTCAACACTGATTGCGTTAACTTGAGAGAACCATTGTGCTTGGGAAACATACCCAACAAAGGCATAGAATATGTGAGTGATTGAAGCAGTGTCCAGGCATGAAGGAGGACGCTCTTTGTAGCAGCGCCACGAGGGATAGTACACGGCGTTGATGTATTGGTTCGACATTTTGTACAGACGCAAATAACAATGAAGAAACCAAGAAAGAACAAAAAATAAAAGACCTATAGGAGAATGCTTTAGGTATCAATAAGCAATAGTTTCATGTTGTACAGAGACTCAGCCCAGTAATTGACCCACAGGTGGCTGTGGTTGATGATTGGGCCTGGTCTGTTTTCGTTGGTCCAAGAGCAAGGCAGTCGATGATTTATTGGAAGAGGGACTTGCTGAGCGATTCGGAAAAGAAAACATGTCATATTTATAGCCATCAAGAAAGGAAATATGAGATCATCGGGCACCAAAGAAGAGGAGGCGGAATTGGCAAGAAGTGGCCGGCCAGTCGACCAGTATGAATTCAGTTGCCACTTACACAAGCCATCAGCAGCAACAGCTTTGCATAAACGCGATGCAATGTTTTTATGTAATATGATACATAATTTATTGTAATATTGACAATCTACGGACATCTGCGTTACGAAATTACGTTTGCCATGCTGTGAATCATTGACACCACCTCTCAATCTCAACTCCATCCAGCTCATCCAGGATACCAAAACTCATGTTCGTCTGCCTGGAAGCCACGACAATGACATCGAACTTTCTCAGGACGTCCTTTCGCCAGTCTTCATCCAAGAGACGTCGTACTTGAGGTAGTGCAGATTGCTTGACCAGAGAATCTGCCCAACATACGTCCACTTCCCGAGAAATAGCTAGATTCTTGACAAGATCTGCTCCTGGGGAATTATCAATCTGTGACTGACCAGCTTTGAAGCCCACACCAACTACAAGAACCCGGGGTGCCCTTCCTGTGACTCTTTGTCTCAGTCTCTTGAGCATTCTCTCGGCTAGTCTTGATGGGCGAGAATGCATCGCAAGCGTAGCGCACTCAAGCAAGGGGAAGTGACTATTTGAGAGGAGGTAGAAGGGGTTCACTGGGATACAATGTCCTCCCACGCCAACGCCTGGAGAATACGGCATGTATCCGAATGGTTTTGTAGAGGCTGCCTCGCAGACTTCATATGGGTTGATGCCGTGTGGGATACATGCATCTGCCATTTCATTCGCATAGGCGATGCAGACCATTCTCTGGCAGTTTTCATAAAGCTTCATCATCTCAGCTACTTCTGGCTTTGAAACAGGAACAACTGTCTCGAAGATAGTAGAATAGACTCTGTTTATAGCGTCGAGGGAGCCTGGGGTGATATCGTCCAAGCCCGAGATGATCTTTGGGATGGACTGGACAGGAGGTTCGACGCGGCCAGGATCAACTCGCTACGAATCGTTAGTATATGAGCCCGAGGTAAAAGGACGAATGAAGACTTACCTCAGGAGACATGCCAGCGAAGAATTGACGGTTGGCAGCCAATGGGCCAAGTAGTTCACGGGTCATACCGACCGCCACAGAGCTTTCAATCACGACCGTAGACCCAGAACGAGCCACTTCACCCACAGTCTTCAACGCATCGCGAAGATAGGATGAGTCGATGGTTTTGTCAGGCCTGAGAAGTGTTGGTACTGATATCAAGAAGTGCGTAGCTCTTCGCAAGTCTTGTGACTCACGAGAGAAACGCACGTTCTCTTGCCCCTGATACTCGACACCAAGGTCCGCGATCCTCTTTGCAGAGACATCAAAACCAATGACTTGGTATTTAGAGGAGAATGAGCTGACCAAATGGGTACCGACATAGCCGACACCGATGACTGCAATAACTGGCTCATCGTTCTGGCTGACCTCAACGGACTGACAGAGCGACTGATCAAGATCATCTGTATCTGATGATGGAGAGCTCAGGGGAGGGCTGTCAGGATAAAAGGTAAAGCTACTATCGAGACGCTGCCAAGGAGAAGAATCTCCGGGAGGTGTCAATGGAAGTGTCTTATTCTCTGCCAAGGCAGGGAGACCAGCCATCGGCTTTGGAGGCATCACTTGGGCCATTGCTATTGAACAAACAATAATAATATAGTAAATGAAATATGAGTCGAAGCATGAACGTAACCGACCGACATCCTGTGAAGAGACATCTGGTTATATGCCCTCAGCCATTGTACTTCCATATACCAAGCTCTATTGCTCAAGATCCCTAGCTTGTGCCTTGGTTCCTGAAGATCACTCAACTATCTCAAAGCAACACCAAAGTGAACCGCCTCTCTCAACGGTGTTTCCACGATGAGATCATCACTCTCATGAAACAAACTACCTCTACCGATTCTACCAATTTTCTAATCACGAAGCTGATCCATAGGAACTAAAGGTGCCCAATCGCGAGCATTAACCAAAATCGTCCGGCTTTAGGTTCAATCTCCTGGCTCCGCATTCCAGTCGACGTCGATCTTTCCCATGAAAAGCCTTTGAGAAGTCGATCATCCCGATATAGTAAAGTGTCTCACCTAAGGAGATAAACGACGGAAGCTAAGCCAGGGACTGTTGGTCTTGGCAGGACTTCTGCAAGGGCAACACGAGGTTATGTTGGATTAACTCTGACGCCTCCCGAGCGGAAATTCTGGGAAACGTTGGAAAGATGGTGTTTTGGATGGTTTCCTCATGGTGACGCATCAGTGGCTGTAAGCTCTGTTGCATGTTTTAGGGCGTGACTAGATTAGTCGCATCCACTTTGTTTGCTGTTTGTTAGTTAACCTTTGTTAGTATCACCGTTTACTCCTTCTGGTGTTGAGGTACCTCGAATCGAGCATGTGTGCTAACGATCATGCGATGGTAATTTGATATCTAGCAGATCGATTTATTGAACTCAATTCATAGGCTGGAAACGTTCTTCGCCGTCTAATTTCGGACAGTAATAACACACTATGGTAGGTATCTATGGTGAACAAGAAACTAGCATCGGACGACACTCCGAAATATTGCCATGACTAGAATATCGGCGATCTTAAATTCAAGCTACTCGTAGTATTCAGATATTCTTCTATCTGATCGACTGGTTTGTACCTCATTATGTCGTTGATGTTTGCTGTATTTCGGAGCTCCTCTCCGCGGTAGGCGTGAATATGGTGAGCCCGAATTTTGTAGTCACAATCCCATGGTGTTTCTGTACGAGGTCAAAGCTATACTTCGAAAACTAACTAGGCAGTCCTAGGAAGACAAGCTATACAAGCTTGAGAGTTAACTAGGGATCGGCACATGGGAAACTTGTTTGCCATGGACCCGGCCCTTCAACACCAAAACTCCATCCATAAACAAGAAACTTAAGCATGATGACGCCTCATGATAGCATATAGACGAGATATTTCAAATAGATCCAGTCTATCACCCTTAGAAGTACTGTTTAATTGGGCTGCCAGCTGTCTTACCGAGTTTTCATGGCGTTTGGCTCATGACTGTCGATATTCACGACTCACGTCAAGTTCCACTCACATCTGCATGGTACCAAAAAGAAACAGTAACTTGCGTATAGCATCATGCAGCTAGTTAATCTTCTGAGTTAGGCAAAATTTTCA